TCTCACTAGCAGTGAATAAGGGTTCCTATCTCTCCACAGCCTAACCAGCACTTGTTTTCTGCTGTTGAAACTTTGCTATTGCTACTGGGGTGAAATGATATCTCAGTTATTTTTCTTTGCACTTCTATGATAGCTAGGGATTCTGAAAATTTCTTCATGTGTTTAAACGTTTGCCATCTGAATGTCTTCTTTGGTGAAGTCTTTATTCACAGCCGTGGTGGTCAAGACAAACTAATACTGGTACAGCGACAAGGCACACAGATCAATGTAACAAATGCTTCAGAAGCCGACTTGGAAAAGCTTTCAGAGGCTATCTCATTATGACATTCTCAGAAAAGGCAAAACTGAAGAAACGGAACACTAGTCAGAGGTAACGGGAATAACTGGCTATAAATGGGAACAAGGGGAAACTTTAGAGTGATAAGAACTGTTTTACTTTTTTTTGGTAGTTTTACGACTAGAAATGTGTTAAAACTCAGAATTGTTTACTACCAAGGGTGAATTCTGCTATATGTAAAATGCACTATTTTCCACTGCGACAATGATGTGTCAAATGCAATAACAGTTACCCATGGTGGACAGTGGTTGGTGGAGCCCCCTGATTAAAACAAGCTTGGAAGCAGGAGTGGCATCCACTTCCAAAATAGCTTGCCTCTGGAAATTCTATAAACTTGGAGAAACGATGAAAGTTATACAAGTGATCAGGTCTTTTGTTCATGGGGTATCTGTGAGTTGTCTACGACTCGATGGCACTTAACAACAACAAAAACAACAAAATATACCAATAAAAATAATAGAGCCATCTTAACGTACTGTAGAAAAAGAAGTATACTATGAATACCAAAAAATTATATCACAACTTTATAGTTGTTATATTCTAGTTTAAAAAGCAATTAGTCAATTAAACAATTAATGTGATTTCTTCATGCTTTATCACCTTTTTGAATTAACATTTCAACTTTCTAAGTAATATTTAATGATTTGTGTTACTATTTAATAAAAAAATCACTATTATTTAAATGATAAAGGTGTGCCTATCCAAGCCACGAGATTTTCATTTAGTTCCTATAAATTTGAAAACTGGACAATAAATAAGGATGACACATGAACAATTGATGACTTAGAATTTTAGGGTTGGAGAAGAGTACTGTTGTTATGTGTCGTCAAGTCACCTGTGACTCATAGTAACTCTATGTCTCACTGACTCTGTCACACCCCCATTGCCCTAGTTACTATATCAACCCATCTCATCCGGAGTCTTCCTCTGCTGCACTGTCCCTCTGCCTTTCCAAGCATGATGTTCTTCTCCAAAGATCAGTCCCTCTTGGCCACATGCCCAAAGTATGCAAGGTTGCAGCTTCAAAATCCTAGCCTCCAAGGGGAAACTTGGTTTCACGCTCTCCATGACAGACCTATTTGTTGTCTTGGCCATCCATGGTTCCAGCACCACACTCAAAGGGATCAATTCTTCTTCTGTCAGCCTTTGTCGGTGCACCTTAGTCTTTAGACTGACATCATTGCTTCTCAGTACTCTGGAAAGGTCCCTGACAGCAGATTTACCTAATGCAACTTGTCTTTTGATTTCCTGACTGTGGTGCCAAGAGTGTTGATTGTGGAGCCAAGCAAACTTTAACTGTTAATAACCTCCATCTCTTCTCCATCCATCATGGTACTGCCAATTGGTCCAGTAGGGAGAATCTTTGTCTTCTTGATGTTGAGCTTCAATTCATATTGAAGACTATAGTCCTTGACCTGCAACAAGCGCTTCAGGTCCTTCTCAATTTCAGCAAGCAAGGTTGTGTCATCTGCATAACATAGGTTGTTGATGACTCTTCCTCCAATTCTGATGCCACATTCCTCCTCTTAAAACCCAGCCTCCCGAATGATCTATTCTGCATATAGATCAAAAAGGTATGGAGCTTCCTGGTCCAAGTATGTTGTTGTTATGTGCCGTCAAGTCGCTTGCAACTCACAGCAACCCTATGTACAACAGCCCTAAACACTACTCTGTCCTGTGCCAATCGCACTGTCTCTGACACTCCCATCCTGATTACCCCAGTCACTGAATCAATTCAGCTCATAGAGGGTCTTCCCCTCCTGCGCTGTCCCTCTTCCCTCCCAAGCATGATGTCCTTCTCCAAGGACCGGTCTCTCCTTACAACTTGTCCAAAGATGGAGCCTCAGAATCCTTGCCTCCAAGGAGCCACCCGGTTTAACACTTTCCAGGATCAATCTGTTTGTTTTCCTAGCATAGGTTTCACAAAAGCATAATCAAGTGTTCTGGGATTCCCATTCTCCTCAAAATTAACTACAATTTGTTATGATCCACACAGTGAAATGCCTCTGCATAATCAATGAAACACAGACAGACATCCCTCTGGTACTCTCTGCTTTCTGCCCAAATCCATCTGACATTAGCAATAATGCCTCTCGTGCCCACGGCCTCTTCTAAACCCAGACAATATTCTTGGTGGTTCTATCAATGTACTGTTCCAGTTGTTTCTGGATAATTTTCAGCAGGATTTTGCTTGTGATATGAATGATATTGTACAATAATTTCTACACTCTGTCAGGTCACCTTTTTTTGGAATGGGAATAAATATGGATCTCTTCCAGTCAGCCGGTCAGGTAGTTATCCTCCAGATTTCTTGGCATACCTGGAGAGAATGTCTGGGCAGCATCTGTTAGCTGAAATATGTCAACTGGTATGCCACTGATTCCTGGGAATTTATTTTTTGCCAAGTCCTTCAGAGAAGCCTATCCTCCTTCATCACCACTGCCTCTTGATCATATACTGTTTCTTGAAATTCTTCTGTGTCTGCCAATTCTTTTTGTTATAGTGACTCTATATACTCCTTCCATCATTTAATACTTCCTGGGTCATTCAATATTCTACCCACAGCACCGTTAAGTATTGCAACACAAGACCTGAATTTGTTCTTTAGTTCCTTCAGCTTAAGAAATACCAATCAAGTACAGCCCTTTTGATTTTCAGACTCCACTTGTTTTACATATTTCATGGTAATATTTTGCTTTGTTTTCCTGTGCTTCCCACTGAAATTTTCTATTCAGCTCATTAACTTTTTTATTTCATCACTTTGCTTTGGTTTCTCAGAACTCTAGCACAATATTCAGAGTACTACATATCTCATGTTAGTCTGCCAAAACAACAGTAAGTCTTGGAGGGAGTGCAACCAGGATGCTCCTTAAAGACAATGATGGAGTAACTCATCTCCACCCTACTCCATATTTTGGGCATGCTGTTAGGAAAGTCCAGTCCATGAAAAAAACATTATGCTGGGAAAGGCAGAGGGTCAAAGAGAGAGAGAAAGACTCTTAACAAGATGGAATGACACAAATGCCAGAGTAACTATTAACAATGGGCTTGAGTATATAGAGATGGTGAAGATGGTGCAGCAAAGAGCAAAGTTCAAAGCTGTTGTTGAGTAGAAGTTGACTCGATGGTATGGAAACAAATGAGGATACTGTCAATTAGGTAAGACTTTGCCCCCTTACTAGGAAAACTTGCAAGGCACCTAACAAGGAAAACCTGAATGTCAGCTAAAGAAAAATCTTTTGTGTGGCAAGTCATAAGTCTGTAAGAAATGTTTCTTGTTAGGCTGTTCCAGAATGTTGATCCTGGGTGTGACTTTGATAAACAAAACATACCTTAGGGATGGGATGTTTCTGCAGTAAGATTTGAAAAGAAACCATAAGATGGAAACCATAAGATAGTTGCAAGAAAGAATTATCAATATGTTTGTGCTTTTGTAAAAGGAATTCCTAGTCATTTTGGGAAAAAGTGTTCTACAATCCTATCCCCCCCCCCCCCCGCAAGACATAAACACTGTATAAATTGCTTATCTGCTGGAAAAGAAAGTGCTTAGACTCAATGGAGCTCTAAGTCCCTTGCCCTCGACTTTGTCTGTCTCTTATTTCCAAAGCCACCTGAATCCTCTCTTTCAGAAATCTGTGTTTGTTGAGCTGGACTTGACAACATGGCACATAACAAGAAAGAGAACAAGTATCTATTACATATGTACGGAATCAAACATTCAAAAAATAAAGAAGGACAGAGTTTGTCTCTCCCACCCTTTCTATCAATCTTGCAATGGACAGACTTAGAAATGTTATGTGCTGCTGAGTTGATGACTACTCACAGCAGCCCTATGAACAACGAAGTGAACGGATGTGAACATTGCCATAACCTGAGCCAACCTCATCATCTTTGACTCATCTGACCCCATTGCCATAGTCACTTTTTCAATTCATATTGTCAAGGGTCCTCCTCTCTTGTGCTGTCCTTCCAAGTATAATGTCTTTCTCCAAGGACTAGGCCCTCCTGACTACATAACGAGATGAAATTTTTCCTATATAATATCTAAGGCAAATAATCATTAGAATTAGCATTCTTCAATGAGAAAAAAGGAGGGAATGTGGGAGGTATTAATTAATTAATGTCAATAATGAACAGAGGTAATTAGCCTTTTTTAGAACAAAATGGGAATTATTTGTCAAAAGTTCTTAAATCGAGAGAATGGGAGAACGGTGGAACCAAGTTTTCACTCTTACTTAAGTATTAACTAAGACAACATGTGTAAAATCAACAGGCAACTTTTCAGATTTTATTATATGCCTGGCCTGATTTAATCAGTAATCTCAAACCTTTAAGACATGTACACATACTCAGATAGGATGAGGTAGCTTATAATTTATATCAATATACTAAATATTTTATTTCATCACTTCAATTTCTAAAATAATTCAAGTTATTTCTTGACTCAAGAACAACAAGAGCACTGAGATTATACAAATAACCTAAGGCACTAAATAAAAAAAAAAAAATCAGGTTCACTTTTGACCTTAATAAAGAAGTTAAACAAAGGAATATAAAAATGTTTTTCCCTCTTCTTCTGACTTCCTGACATCTGGCTTTCCTTTATTGTTTTAAAAGCCTGCCAGCATCCTGAGTTTTACCCAGATTATTTACTGCAACTTACCCTGTGAAGCGTCACTGTGTGTTGCTCCCATATAGCTGTTTCCTCCATTGTTGTATTCTGTCAAGGGAAAAGGAAAACAAGAAATTTACCTTTTAATATCTTCATAAAGTGAACAAATACATATCCATTAAGCAATTAAGCACACGGGAATGTCAAAATTTATTCTGTTAATATTAGAGATACCATCTCTGAAAGGAGTTTAGGAATTACAGGGGGTTTTTTTGGTTTGCTTTTCTTTCTGTTGTTAAGAGACAGGAAACTACATACAGGAACTTCCTTTGTTTTTAACTTAATCTGGACAGATGTTTCTCTGTATTCATTTTATGCCAGCTGAAACACTGCAAAATCTGGTATTCATGCTAGTTTCTTCAGCACTGTACTTAAAAATGACTTAGAATAAAAGTTGAGATAGTAGTATTTTAAAATATATAAATGCTACATAAACATTTTAAGTGAAGAATTTCTGTCCAGCCATCTCATTAATAATGTTAATAATGATTATTATACACACGCACATGTTTCAGGCAAATAGGTTGTTTGAAGGCAGTTATTAGCACACTTAAAACGCTACTGCTCCATGCAGTTTCAGTTTTCCTACAGAATTACCACCCAAAGATGAAAGGATCTTTCCTAGCATAATATTGTGTGATAATATTATACTATAATAATATTGTATACATGCAAGAATATAAACGAACAAATACAAAGACAATGACCTGAACAAATCTCAACAGTCACCATAAAATAAAAGTAAAAAATGTCCTACTCAAACCTCAGTACAGCTCAGGTTTATTAATCTACTGCCATGAACCTCTCACTGAAGAGGATATGCACTGAAGAATTTAAAATCAATTGCTTCTAAAACTTGGTTAAATTAACTTGGAAGCTGAAAGCAATGCAGTAACTATCATTTTATTATAGCTTTAATTAATTCCTAAAAATTGCATACTTTAGAAGCAAATTTTAACACGTTGCCGCAAATGACGGCTTACAATCGGAAAAAAATTTGTTTCTAAGCATGGTCATCAATTTAAAAGTGTGTGGCAACATGTTAAAACAGAAAAGAGGTTTTTCAGGATTATCAAATAATAAGGTGTATGGGGGAAATATGGAACATAAGACACTCTCGTATTAACACTCTGGCATGGACAATTTCTTATTGTTGCAAATGCTTGTTTCAACAGTGACATCTTTTTTCAGGCATACCTTGCTGTTACTACCACTCTGAGAACTATCCACCAAAGGTTCCATGGGCCCATTGCTCCTTTCCCATAGAACTTTAATCCAAGCTTAATCCACTTTAGAACATGAATCCCTCTAAAGAAAGCCTGCTTCCCTATATTCAAAGAAACCGGATTAACTTTCCTGCCAGTTTAACAAGAGAGGAAAGGATACAGCTCTATTGTTCATTCTCAAAGATAAGAACTGCCAGCCTTAAGAGTTTTGTTTCACTCTTAACATCAAGTGTAGCAAAATGTCCCTTTAAAGAGGCCTCCACTTATAAACAAAGCTGTTTGTTCTAAAACAGCAAAGAATATGTAACAACAACAATGATACAAATATTTGCATAAACTACCTGCTCGTCCATTACTGGATCTTTAAGAATGAGAACCTGCACAGGTCTAAGTTCATTTTTTCTTGATCAACTTCTTTTACCAGTCTCACTGGTTAAACTGACTCACTCAACACTGTCTCACTAACTTTTTAATCCTTTTCTATTAACTCAAACCGAAAGTGAGCTGACAGCAGCGACTTCACCTCTTTGGTAACACTCTGGGAAACAGCTTGTCTCCCACTTGGTTAAAGGCCTCTGACTGGTACAACTGGTTCATGTTGACTACAAAAGCTGGAAGTTTAAATGCATCTAGCAATGTTATAGAGCATTTTTGCTTTCATTCCTCAATTTCCAATCAGAGAATGGAAACTGCCAAGATATTTTAAGTCACATTCACAAAATACCATTCTTACTTAATGTTTAACACTCCTTTGGAAAAACCAAAAAGTATTCTTAAAAGTATTTTTTTAAAAATTCTATTATTATACAGTAGGATCTTAAAGTACAATCTTCAAGAGGTAAAATATTTTATTTATACATGTTAAGACAAAAACAGAAACTATTAAAACAAAATAATTTTCAACATTCAAAGTTGTTATTTATATAATTTCCTTTGTGGTTAATAGAAAGTTATACATCTCCACCAATTCAATGGTTATGGTGGCAACAGAGAATGAAACACTAAAAATGGTTACTTAGGGTCACTAAACCAATTTTATAATATAAATGGATTATTATACTGCATGATTCTGTTTCAGTTCTGGTGTATTTTTTGCCCCTCTTGTGGTTTACTTTTTATGTGATTCAACTTCCCGCTGCCCCTTTTTTTAACCCCCCCCCCTTCTATTTTTCCGCCCCAAAAGGAAACTGTCCATATTGGAATGTATTAAATAAACGGTAGTCTCTTTCTGGTTTCTCTGCACTTGGCAGATGTCTTTCTGGCTTCAGATCTCTGGATCTTCACTGTTTCATTGTAAGAAACCCAATCATTTCTAGTTTAAATCAGAGTAGGTTCTTTTTCTCTACCCTATGAAGAGCAAAGGCCATGTGGTGACAGCCATAGATGAACTTTACCAACTGCACAAAGAAGAGCTGTCCCTGGCAACATCACTAGCAACACAAAACTAATTCCCTTATGTTCCCCAAGTTTCCAAATCTCTTCTTACTCATCCCAACACCAATCTTACTGCTTTGCTGGATTAAAAATCTGATGTGATAGCTCACAGACCACAAAGAACCATGCTGGGGAAGTCAAAAGGTTAAAATCCAGGTTAGTAGCAGTATACAGTCAGGACAGCTTCTGAAATGTGCTCACAGGCACATCTGCCTTGAGAATCACAGCTTTAGGCAAGTATAAAAAAGTTCTCAGTCCTGCAAATTATGACCTCCCACCCCCAGTTGTCCAATGCACTTAAGCAAAGATGCTTAGCTCCAATTCCAATAGTATAGCAGTCGCAGGGTCCCATTTCACTTCAGGTCTCTGGTTCTCTGTTGTGACTGCTATGACTACTGCTCCTGCAGGTCTTAGTCTGGCTGACACAAGAAGTTCTGGCTCTGAAAGACCCACTACATTAATTTGCTTTTTCCTTTGGTGATGGGGAAGATATTCCTCCTGCTGCTGGATTTGCTCAATTTAATGGCAAGACTAACCAATCCTCTTGTTAACTATTGAGGACTAGTCAGCCAATCCCCTCATGGACAGGCTAACATACCCTTTTTTCCCCATATTCTTGGCCCACCCATATGGCAATGTCAGGCAATGCCTTTGCCTTCCTTCAGTGACAATAGGCTACATATATATTCAAGGAATTCATAGGAAGAGTTCTGGACAGACAAAGGATGAAGGATGGACCAGACACATGGTAATGCAAATATAGTAACATGAAAACGTAGGACTCTGAGTAGTCAGGATACATGAAAACATCACCAATTTCTTTCAAATTTTGTTCTAAGGCTAAGGCACTTCTTTTTTAAAAAGTTGGGGGTTTTTTATTTTTATTTTTTTTTTTACCTCCATGCTTTTGTTTGTGTGTGTGGTACACTATAGGGTTGGAAGAGTACACTGACAAGGAACTGTCAGAAATTCAAGATAGATTCAGAAGAGGCCACAGAATGAGGTATATATTAATGTCAGGTGTATTTTGGCTGAAAGCAGAGTATACCAAAAAATGTTTGTGTTTTACAGATTATGCAGACATTATGCAGACTATGTAAATCATGACAAATTATGGCTGAGAAGAATGAAAATCCTGAAACACTTAATTGTGCTTATATGAAACCTATACAATGACCAAAAAGTTGCTGTCAGAATAAGAGAACACTTAAAAGTGTGCGGCAACAATTGACGCTAAAATGGACATGAAGTACTTTCAGTACAAACAATTATGAAACATTATTTTCATTGGTAGAGAAATGAAAATCATGATTGGAGGAATCTTAGTGTGTTTACTATGAGCTCTTTTTGCACTGATTTTATCACATTCATTTATTATTTATTCAAGTTGTTGTTAAGTGCTGTTGAGTCGTAGGCGACTCATAGCGATGCTATGAAGAAAAGTCCTCAACACTTTGTGTGTCTTTCATCCTCTATCCAAGTTCATACAGTTTCCCGAGGCAAGCTATTAAGGAAGTGGATGCCACTCCTGCTTCCAAGCTTGTTTAATTGGAGCGCTCCACCCAACACTGTCCACCATGGGTAACCAACCATTAACGCATCTGACATATCAGCCTCACAGTGTTCAGCCTCACAGCAACCACAAGTTACCAAGTAGTTTAAAAAACCCAACATCATGATCAGACCTGGAAAGGTCTGGCATTACGAGGGACCCAGTGAACCCTCCTGCAAGAAGTACATAGAAATCACCCTCCCTTCTACATAATAAACACATCCTAATGCCCCTCTGCCAAGAGCATCAATATCAGAGGAGTAAAGAGGAAATGGGAGGAGAGAGTAGGTGGGTGGTCCTGCAGGGGGAAGGAGAGGGAATGGGGCTGTATGTTGACAGAGTGGGGCAAGGATGGGAACACATGTGCCAAAGGGGTACAACTGATCTACCTGCATAATCTCAACAGCTCTTCTGGGTTAAGTCTTGTCTGTCAAATATTGCTCTAAATCTGAGCACTAAATTAAGATAGACTAGGGAGAAGGACTGGCCATCCACTTCCGAAATAACATGCCTTCAAAAACACTATGTACAACAGAGCACACTCAGGTTAGACTAGCAGACATGGCACCACTGGATGACCTTGTTAGGAATCACAAAAGATGAGGAACAGTAGCAAGCAAACCTTAATTATTGGAATGTGGGATGTGAGAAGTATGAATGTAGCAAAACTGGAGACTGCTGAAGAATAAATAGAACACATAAACTCTTGATATATCAGGCACTGGCAAAATAGGATAAACTGCCATAGGACATTTTGAATGTACTATCCTAGAAATGCCAAGGTGAGGAAAAAATAGTGCTGTGTTCATAGTTAAAAAGACCTATTA